AGGAGTTTGGTGTTGCTCACAGCATTGTTTCATGCGAACGGAGCCTTAGAAACCACAGCCGCTGCTGCCCTAGAAGAGGAGGATGGTGGATCACGAACAACCGCAACAGCAGGTGATTGCTACGTTTTGCAACAGGCAAGAATGGACCCACGTCAGTCACATGCTGCAGTTGCAAAAACATTTATCAGGATTGTAAGGCATGTAATCCCAGCTGAACAGTGGCACAGTGACCGCATAGGGATGGCCTCTCTGCCCGACAAACGTTACCTAGTGTTTCTTTGAAACCCTCGTAGGCGGGAATACTTGCTAGGTGCCGAAACATTGAAAATAGACCACCAACTTGGCGGAACGCAAGTTCTGTAGTGATTCTAGTGATTCTGGACTTACCACATATGGCGAGATAGGAACATGTAATCCACCCAGGACCATCGTTAACATGATTGTTTTGATAGTCCATTCGATATGGTGTGGGGAGGCATAAAGTTGCAAGGGCGTACCGACCTCCCAACTCTGATCGCGGAATGCTTTCTGATCGACGTTATTGTGACGCTGTACTCCTCTCTTATGTGTATCTTTTCAGCGGTGCGTTTGATCCCAATTTCGTTAGTATGGAGGACAATGCGCGAGCGCATTGTGGCAACCAGCCCAAAACAACCTTGTGGCTAGTATGGGAGCACCTAGCAGAACATGCGTTGCAGTCCTTAGTATTCATACATCCCATCAAGAAGCACCTCCTCTCTTCTGAAGGTTTACCATGAGTTGGGGTAGTTTTACGAGTTGGGGTAGTTTTACCACCAACCGCTTTCTGTCAGTAAGATTTTGCGTTATACTGTAACATTCCCTTCTATGCATGTGCCGACTTTCATCGACCTAGATTAGCTTGCAGTGAGGTATCAGGCACAACTTGCTTTCATCTTTAAGTTTTGCACACCAGTGTAGTTTGTTCATCGCGATCATCTTTAGATATGGAAATAGTTAGCTAAAATTATGTTTTCAATCAGCTATCACTCTTGAAAATCTTTCTATCTAGGGAAATGTCGGTGCCTGCAATTCGGAATTTTCTGAGCAACGTGTCCGCAGTCACTCGAGCGCTTCGTGTTAGTGTACAAAGTCCTCGTCGGAGTGGAGAGACCCTACTATTCGCTATTCGAAATATTGCATTCTTGGGAAACGTATGTCTTTCCTTTCAACGTCATGGCTACTAACGCAAAGATGCAACATGCAGGGTGTGCTTTTGGTAGTAGAGTTTCAAACATAACGTGGGAGAAAATCGCAAGAAAAGCGGGCCAAAGCGCGGACTTTCGCGATTTGTTGTGTCTCGGTACAAGATCATGCAGCTTTCTTTTGTCCAAATGAGACGTGGGAGCAGGGTCAACCCTATCGTTGTTACTTTTTGAAAAATTTTTTACGACCCCCCTCCCCCAAGGTGGATTTGATACGACCCCCTTTTCGACACCTCGACCACCATCATCGTCTCTATAGTATTTAATTCTGATACCACTCAACCCACCAAACTCCGCCCACTTTTTCCTCCAAAAATGCCGTCGAGCGGGGGGGGTATATAGCTACTCTGAAACAGTAAAAATTCCCTATATCTCCGCCATTTTACTCCTACTTTTACCGGCTTTTACCTATATTTACCTATATTCCCACTACTTCATTTTCTAGGGGGGTATATACGCGCGCTGAAACGGCAAATTTTTTTCCTGCGCCCTCAACTCACCCAGCCTACTACCCACGAAAACTTCAGTTTCACCTCAAACTCACATGTGATTTCAAGCGACTGAAACGGGTACGACCCCCCCTCCTACAAACTCAACCACGGGTACGACCCCCCCCCCTCCTACAAACTCAACCAAGTACGACCCCCGTTGTTACTAGTAACAACGTAGGGTTGACCCTGCGTGGGAGAGAGTATCGCGCCGGCAAGGGCGCCTTACTCTCCGCTCGGAAGCATCGCGCTTCGTTTAGGTGAAGAACCAACTCCCACAATGGCTTGAGAGTTGCGATCGAGAACGTACCCCTCGCTCGCTGCCCACCAATCTCTCACGCGGGTTGCCTAATTATGACCTGGCCGACTAGAATTATCGCGCCTGAGTTAACTTGTTGTACGTGCTCGGTTGAATATGCAACACGCCCGATTTTTTTCTGACTGTCGTACGTCCTTCGATAGCTTCCTACGGGTGCGACCTATTGGACATCGCCACACCTCTACAAAACTAGCCTATGTAATAGATAATGCTACGATTAGTGACCCGTGTGACATTACTACACGACATACAACGTGTACCAGAGATCTAGGGTTTTGAAGCCCTATAAAAACTATGAGTTAGAGTGAAATACGAAAATATTAAGTTGTGAAAGAAATGCAACTTTTGATGTGGCATACTTTACTCGAAATTTCCGGGAAAAAAGGAGCGCCTGAAGAAATTTATGAATTGGAGAAAGCTGAACAAATGTGCACTGCATGAGCTGACTGAGCAGCAGCAAAGTCGCTCCTCAGAAATCTCGTCAACTCGTTTCAGTGAACAAAAACGTCCGACTTCTGGCTAAGCG